CTATATTTTTATGAATTAAGATGGTTTTATCTTGGTAACTCATGCTATTTTGCTTTGAACTAGATGATGCAGAGTATCGAGGATGTTGAGCTTCGAGTCTTTGACTCATTTCTGATTCTCTAATCCGGGGGTTGACTGCCGGCGCACTTGCCTCTCTCGGCTGAAGTGTTGGTAGGTTTTCATCGAATGATATGAGATCACCTTCAGGAGTTGCTGGCAGATTTTGCTCTGGAGTAACGTTTTCAGTTTGAGGTGTATTTTGCTCTGGAGTAACGTTTCCTACATTTTGCATTATAAGCAAAGCTGGTTGGCATTGTCCTTTACAAAGGTTTCCTTTTAAATTCATGTGTTTCTTAAGATCTCAAGTTTTACCAGTTTTTATTACTTGATCACAACCTGGACATTTAAGTATCTTAGCCATAGTAATATGTTTTTTCAGTGTTTTTTATTATTATACCAGATCTTTTGTTTAAATAAAAGATTACTATGCTCTGCTTCACTCCGCAACTGCGTCGCTCACACCTAAAGTGTATACTCCTTAGTGTTAAGAAACTAATTGTGAATTAAATAGATAACTAATGCTACACTATGCTTCGCATTCAGAGTCGCTATGCTTCTCTAGTACAAAAAACTAAAAAGAAATCAAATATGATAACTATGCTCTGCTTCACTCCGCAACTGTGTCGTACACTCTTAGGGGGTGTACTCCTTAGTAATAGAAAGCTAAATAGCTATCGAAATAGATATCAAAAAAGTACACCAAGCGTGTAGTATATATAAAAATACACCATTCATGTAAGTTTTTTATATATTATATATAAGTTATATAAGTTATCAAGAATAAGTTAAAAACTTTAAAAAAAAACAAGAAAGAATAGTGTTATCAAAAAAAACACAACCGTGTACCTCAAAAGCCCACTAATCTATTGCTTAGTTATATCAATACAGCTCATAACTTTTCTATTAACAATTCACCTATCCAACAAACAGAACTGACAAAAATATACTAAAAAACACTTTATAATGCTAGAAACCTAAAAAATGCTTAATATTTACAAAAGCATATAAACAAAGCTATAGACAAAGGATGTGACCAACTAAAGTCACAACTAACCAAAATGATTAACAGTATACTTAACAGATATAAAAAGTTTGTACATATTTAGAATATTAAACAAATAACAATATTATCACTAATCCAAAAGATATTAAACAGCATATTACCAATTATTTTGACAAATAGATAGCACATCAACTTTACAATAATATATTTTTCAATCAATACTGACAAACTGAATATAAACTTATTCTTTCTATCAACTCCTCATTATATAATTCTATATTTGAAGAGATTAGTATTAAGAAAGTACTACAAACTATCTAACAACTATCTAACAATAAAGTCTATATGCCATCTAGAATTAGCTATGAAATAATCAAATATATCAAATATGCTACTTGCAATTACTGCTTTATTTAACTGATGTCTTACTATATACAATATATCTAAACAATAGAAAAACAGTAAGATTTACTTAATATCAAAAAAGCCTCAATAGATAGCAATCTAAATAATACTCATTCTATTAGTTTTATTAAACATATTAAAAAACTTTATACTAAAATCCTCACTAACTGACTATCCAAAGTCTTTACTATGTATCCAATTCTTAATTCTCACAACTATATTGCACTTCCTAGCAACTCTATTAATAACTCAATACATATACTCAATAACTTCTTAAATAATGCTAAATGTACAAAAAAACAGATCTGAATCCTATCACAAAATATGAGTAAAGCTTATAATTCAGTTAATATACACCTTCTTTACAAAGCTTTGTGACATCTTAACATGCCTACTTAACTTATACAAATTATCACTAACCTATTACAAAATCATACAAATTAAGTTATTATAAATACAGACTATTATTCCTCTACAATGTAAAAGATGGAATTGACTAAGTAGAAACAATAATATTTCTTCTTTGACATATTTCAGTCAGGGATTTTACTAAATATGGGCAATGTCGATTGCACCTTTTATAGTATGAAAATGCTGATCAGATGATTCTAGGCATTTCTGTTACATATAAATGATGTAATATCACATGTTAATTAACCAATCAGGTCACAGATTTGAAAAGTAAAAAATTACTATTTCGTTGTAATGTATAACACGAATATATATTAATAAAAAATAATCTAACCTTTCTTAAATTTTAAGATTATATAGAAAATGCACCATAAACAATTTTTTTAATGTACTAAAATTGATTTACTTAGTATAAAATTCTATAATAATGATCTTTTACAAATGACAAATCCGAAGACATCTCATCAACAGCTAGATAGAATCAAATAGTTTTTATACCATTCGATTTGTCTCACTAAGACAATTTGAATGGTATAAAAATCATTCAATTATAATTGGTAGAACTTGAGATATTATTAACAATCTAATTTATTATCTTAACAAAATTTCTGGATAATGTTTAATCAGAACAAATAAAATTCTATTTGATTACACAATAATAACATATATCCCACTTATATTACATTTTATTTTCTATTCAAGTATCTAGAAAAAAAAAAAAAAAAAAGTTAAAATAAAAATATTAAATAAAAAATTCTGTCGTCCAATCTATACTTAAATTCATTTAAAGATGATGAAACAAATTCAACAACAGCAACACTCATGAACTACTATACACACAAGAGTTGTAAGTACAAATCTGAATATACATACAACATTACCAGAATATTAATTATTGAGCCAAAAAAAAAAAGAGGTAGAAACTAGAGACTAACCTTAAATAAATAAACAAAAACATGAAGAATTTTTCAAGTCTCATCTATTTCGTCAGAAAAAATGGATTATATGGAGAATAAAATGGATTATAAAACTATAAGTTCTCTACTTTTCATACATATAGTTATTAGTTGCAACCAAATAGCACGAAAAGTCAGAAAACTTCAGCCAAAAAGCATGATTATAAACCAATCATCGCTTGAAGATTTTCTGTGAAATGTTCCAGAATCGATATCCAAATTTGGTAAAATCTCTGACTATATTTATTATAATCATCTTATTGCTATATCAATAAAACCTATACCAGATACTTATCTACAATTGAATAGATTACTTAACTTAATTCTATTAAACACAAAAAACATTAGTTTTTATATTTGTATTAGTATATATAGATGATACTATGTGGCTTGCTAAATCACTTGAACAGTTATAACAAATAACACAAATAGCATCTCTATTTTACAAAATAACAAACATCTAAGTAAA